GAGGCCCCTGTGCAGCATTCAGGAGTTAACGCGAGTCGCAGCTCATTGGGGCGTTATGAACAGAGGAAAGAGTCCCAGTTTCCCAGAACTGTAGGAAAGGCCACTGATTTGCAGAAGTTTCTTTAATTTCCAAGTTTGTATTGGAAAGGAGTTGTACATCTGTTATTGAGTAGGGTAACCTGTCTCCTGGAAAAACATTTAAGTTATCTATGACAAGTAATTTTTTTTTTTTTTTTCTCTTCAGGTGGGGTAGTGCTGAGAACAGGAGAGCGAGGCTCAGTGGTTGCAGCTGAAGTGCAAGTGTCATTTTAGGAAGAGAAGAACTACTTGAAGGATTTAGCATAAACTTTTAGAAACACTATAAAAAAAAAAAATGCTCAAAATAAGTCCCAGGTAGAAGATAATAACGTAGTTCTACCTCATTGCCAGAAGTGGTGGGGGGAAAAAAAATGACGTGGGATCTATGAGTTCGATTGTCCGTGTGCCGTGGGAGAGGGGCGCCCAGGGGCCTGCGCGCGCTCCTTGCTCAGCCCCGAGCGGAGCGGTGCGGAGAGCAGCTGCCCGCGGCTCAGGGCACGCAGGCTGCAGCGCGGGCGCCTGTTCAGCGTGGTGATCTCGGGGGAGAGAGGGGAGCTGCAGAGGTCCGGTGGCTGAGGTGAGTTAGCGCGGAGGTGCCAGGGAAGGGGAGAGAATGCGTTTGCCAAAGATGAAGGCACAGAGTGACGGTTAATGGCACAAATCCAGTTACACCGCTCCAAATTTTGGCCAGTACATTACACCAAGGTATTACTTTTTCTTTCACAGAGGTCCCATTTGATTCAGAATTTATCCCTAGAAATTTCTTGATGTTTAGCACAAATCTTTAAACAGGTGATCTTACCCTTGCAGATGTGCTGATGGCTCCCAAATGGAGCCAGGCAGAATCACCACCCGGCTAGATAAAAACTGTTAAAAGCACGTGCACACTTGAATGTCAAGACAGTGACTGACTAAAATAGTTTCCTGTACTATGTGGTGGAGGCTTTTCCGTAAGCAGTTGAATCTTTTCAGACACGCTTTGTACAAACATCATGCAGACCAGCGCTACTGATCGGAGACCAGGCAGGGGCACGCCCCGTCTGTTTCTGAGGATACTGTGACAGCGCTCTAGCCATCTCTTCATGGGACTGTGAATGCTTAATTATTTTTTGTATCTTAGAAATGTAACTTAAACCAAACAATTGCTTTAGAATCATAGAATCGCTAAGGTTGGAAAAGACCCTTAAGATCATCGAGTCCAACCGTTAACCTGTCACTGCCAAGCACTCCACTAAACCATGTACCTAAGCACCACGTCTGCCCGGCTTTTAAATACCTCCAGGGATGGGGACTCAACCACTGCCCTGGGCAGCCTGTGCCAGTGCCTGACTGCCCTTTCCGTGAAGGATTTTTTCCTAATTGCCGTTACAGCTGAACCAATGCAAATTCCTGTTCGCTGCCCCAGTTAGCGCTGTAATGCTCAGTGCCAGGTGAGATTCACTTCTGAACCCCCAAGCAGCTGGAAATGCGTAATTCAAGCCCACCAGTACACACGTGAGCGGTGTGATCTCTGCTCAGTGTTGCAGCCCGTCTTCCTGCAGCATTTCTCAGTTACAGCAAAGAGGGATTCGGATGAGCAGCTTCTACACGTAGTAAGTAGTACAGCAGCAGATTTGTGCAGACTCAGCACATCGGCAAGCCTGCTGTGAAAGTTCAAGAAGGAAAACAAAATCATGTCTGCCTGAATTTGGTATTTCAACAGTTCTTGCCAGTAGTTGTTCACCTGGAAGACACTAAATACATTCATTCACAAATTCAAGTTCAGCTGCCATTAGTTTAGCATCCATATTGTTGTTAACAATGAGATTTGCACGTTTATCTCTAGGATGGTTATTTCCTTGTGAGTTCTGGGGGTTAGGATCGTTCCTAGTACAGGGTTGTGCTGTCTGACGTTCCCCTGAATCAAGTCATTTACTTCAGAAGGGAGGGCTTGGTCCAACCTGCGGAAGTTGGCCTTGCTCGGGGCAAGGCTTGCACAAGTCGCCCCGGCCTTTGCTGAGCGGAGTCGCGAGTACCTGGGCGGGCGGAGGTCCCACAGCCTCTCCGAGCGCCCACCCTGCTTCAACCTCTGCCTCCTGAGGCTTGGCAGAGGCATGGCTCCGTGGAGGTGAGCTTTGCCTAATCCTTGCTGTAATACTTGAGCTCCTGGTAGCCTCTTTGGATTTAATGTCTGCCAGACTCACGTCCTCAGGCTTGACGATTAAATATTGGAGAGCATCTTGGGTCTGGAAGCTTGTCCTGCTGTGTCTGGCCCTACCCGACCACTGTGCTGTGCCAAGCCACACATCCACTGCATCCAGGCTCCAAAATTAGCACAAAGCACTCTTAAGGCGAGGTCCTCCTCCTTTTGCTTTGCCCTCCTTGTGATACTGCCGAGATAATCCCTCCTCTGTCTGCAAAAGAAATACCACTGTCGCGTTTATGGACGCCCTCAAAGTTTACAGAAGTAAAGAAGGTAAATACACAGCTCTCCTGGGAAACAGCAGCTGTTTGGGACAGCACCTGACTGATTGTTGGGGGTTTTCTTAAACCGCTGTTTCAAATCCCAAATACAAAGAGTGATTGAAGCCATTTCACTCAGAGAGCTCCATCTTCCACAGGTTTCAGACCAACAGAAAATATTACTTTTTTTTTTTTTTTTATTTCAGAACTGGCCTATCCTCGCAGGCCCTGAGGTACGTTTCTTTCAGCAGTAGTACCTGGTCATTCCCTTCCGGAATTTTCCTGAAATTCAGGTGGCAGCAGCAGTCAGTAACTGCAAATGCTCCAGCTCGGTCTACAGCACAGTCTGTATCGGAGGGGATGACTCTCCCGCTGTCTACGCTTGCAGCAAAAGCAGGAAGGCAAGGCAGGAGGCCTGTGTCTCCTGACCTGGATCCAGCCACTCTCGGGAGCTTCGACCACTTTTTAGGTTTTGTTTTAAAACTAAGAAATTCTAATCGGTTTTCTCACTTCTGCACCCACAAGTAAAAGAGTACTTTCTACTTCTCTTTATTTCAGCAGGGAGGTAGCTTCAGGCATCTCAAAAGGTAGTCTCCAAAATGTCAAGAGAAAAGGAATTTGATGAGGAGGTTAAACTCTTCACCTCATTTAGCATTTAAATGATAAAGTTATAGATTAGGAGAATATAACCTGCTACTGCTGGAGGTTTAACTCTCTGTTTGGTTTTCTAAACAGATATGTTAGACCATTGTTCATTTGGATGTTACGGAAAAAGAATCAAGTCTTCACAAATATAAAGCAACTCCCCACCTCCAAGAGCCAATTAAAGTGGGCTGGACACAGACTGCCCTAAGTGCTAAGCCATTTATTACGGTGACATTTGAAATTTAGTAGGAGTTTCGACATTCCCTGCTCTTTAAATTTCTGAAGGGCACTTATGGTACAGCATCACTTAAATGAGCTACTACCAGCTTAAAAAGTTTTGACAATGGTGTAAGACTAGAAGCAACTAAGTAAACAACAATCACCTTCTCCTCAGGCTCTGACACCAAACAAACTTACCATTAGCTTAAATTATCTTTATTTTTAGTGTTTGGCTGTTCACCTTGTAGCATTTGGGGGAAGAAGAGAGGAAACTTACTTATTTTAGCAATATAGGAAAAAACTCTGTTCACTATTAACCATTTAGCAGACTGGATTTCCAATCTCTTAATTCTACTACCGGTAATTAGGGCTTAATACATTCTTCTTTAAAGCAGAAGGTATTTTGACCATCCTGTTCAGAGCTACTGTATTTTATGTGAAAACAGTATTTTAGAATAACAGAGATGAAGGACTATAAAGGACAGATTTTATTAAGGGTATACTCATCTGAAGACCTCTCTTGTGTTGCAACTTCGCCTGCGCCCTTTTGCTAAAGCTGAGCTGTCACGGGCAAATCGGTGTGGCCGCGACTCCCCGTCCTGCATCGTTACTCGATTTCAGCCCAGTCAGCCATTTCGCTGACTGACCTCCACAGGGCACCATGTAGAAACAGATCAGGAAACAGGGCAGAGAAAAGGACATTAGACAATACCGTGCTAAATAAGTACACTCTAGTTTATAGCTTAAACACGCACCTAACCTTGTACCCATCCTCTTAATGTATGAAGGATTTTCACCACACTAACTGTACCAGCTATAGTGAAGGTATTCCCCATCAGCAGCTTTAAAATTCCTTGATAAATTGCTGCCCTGAGGGGTATAAACACACCCACATTTCTTTGTGATTACTATTACATTCAGAAGCTATTTGAAGGCAAGTGCAAACAAAACAAAAAAGCTACAAAAAGCAATAGATGTTGCTGCACTAACTAATGTCTTAAACTTAATGATTTGTATAAAAATAGAAATGGGTAAATAGAAAAGCACAACTAAAGAAAAGCTATTTCTCTGTCGCTACAGAAACCAAGACATATTCGACTCCACTGAAAAGGTTAAGCACCCGGAGAACACATGGGCCTGACTTAAAATCATATTTGACTTCAGTTTGTTTCAAATAACCATCATCATGTCTTCCCCCTCCCCCCTTTTTTTTTTTAAACTGAGAGACAACCACATGATCCATTGAAGAGCTAAAGTGAATGACAGGACCCACCCATACGATTTTGTCCTATCTATATGCTGCAACTTCAAAGCGCACGGTACTTCCTTTCCTGCAAAAGCAGCTGTAGAGAAGGTACGTGAATAGCTGTTACAGAGAAGGGAAACTCTAAGACAAGTAGGAAATGCCTTGAAAGTGACAAGAACTGTCAAATTGAGGTGTACGGTTAGAAAAGCTTTCTAGCAAGTCAAAACCATAAATAGCTTTTTTTTTTTTTTAATGCCATCAATCATACTGAGAAAATCATCATCAAGTGTCACTGTTCAGGCAGAGTGCCTTCATAAATACATTCAGGAGCATTTGTAGGCAAATGTGAATTCAGGAACTTGACGTTTTGCCAGTCTCCAACTTGTTTCTGCATTAATCTCTCCATTAATTTCGTGATTTTGGACAGCATTCAAAGTTTGAACACAGATCAATCCATTAAACAATGACCGGAAAAGACAATAGGCTATGTACTTCATATGATTTCTTTTATAATATTGCCTACACTAACAAAATAGAGTAACTTCAATTCTTTCAAGATCAGAAAAATATTCCAGGCTGTAGTATTACAGCATATGGCAGTCTGTAAACAAAAGCAGCATCCATTTCACTCATGGTCTTCTGCAGCTGCTGCTTCTTTCTGTTCACATGCTGCTTCATCATCTGGTTTCACCGGAGTAGTGGTTAACGAGCTCTCGATACTGTTGAAGAGCAGCTTTGTTTCTTGGCTGTCGGGATCAGTTCCTAGTGTTGTTTTTGAAGAAAATTCATTGGGAAGAGCAAAAGAAGGTAAAGATGGAACTGAAGGCGGTAGGTTGTCCAACTCAGGCTGCTTGACTGAGCCTTCAGAATACATGGTTGCATCTTCAGGGTCCAAAGCTGTGGCATTTTCTAGGAAATGGAAATAGTTTGTAAAAAAACAAACGCTGTCAGGCTAACGGCCAGTGCCTCTGGTTACCATACATCTAGAAAAACAGCTCGAAGGAGATACCTCGTACAGGCACATAACCAGATTCACAACCGGCAAATACATGGGCTGCATTTACTCAGTTCTCCCCAAATCCAGAAAATCTGATGGTGCAAGGAGGCTTTTAAGAGACCACGAACCATTTGGGCTGCTGTATTCTTATACTAGAGATGTTTTATTTTGTGTTACAACTCTCAATCACCCCACCGCTTAAAAGGGAAAGGCATCCATAATGTGAAGATATATTTTTTTTTTAAATAGGAAAGTCACTATTAAAATTACTGCAATTTTGTTTTCACTTTACAACTGTGAAGAGAAGCCTGTGGTACAAAAACTCATTTATGCTGATTTTAGAAATACCTACTTTTAAGGTCAGTTTAATTTGGATCATCAACATCTTCATTTAAAGAAAAAGACACCCATTCTATAATCTTATAAAAAAGCCTATTAGTTTTTGTCCATTTCTACACCTGATTTCTGCTACTTTTTCCACCCTATTTTAGCCAATCCCCTTTCTGATTTTTTTTTTAAAAATTGGCTTATTTCCAAAAAGCATGATACCGTTGAAAAGGCATGAGTTGGTGCCATTCCAGAAATTAGGTCAGAGGCCTAAAGGAAATCTCGAATACACTTACCAAAATAAGCAGAAGCGTCATTGTTGGACATCATTAACTTTTCAGTGCCTACGAAAGCATCTGCTGCTGGCGTGTTGAAGGAGGCCGATGAAGACATGCTGGACGCTTTTGTTAAGTCAGCGAGTTCAGGAAATGAAATACCAGACATATCTAGAAATCCTGAAAGCAAATATTACAGTACTGTTTTAGATGTAACACAAAATTCTAGATTCAAAAAGACATGTTATATCCAGACTGGTCAGTGAAGTCCCCTCCCTGCTAAATGCAAATGTATTTAACCTAAAAGTTAGCTGACATCAGCGGAAAGAATTCTGCAAAATGTTAACCTCAGTCAGGTTCACAGTACCCAAACTCCACCATTCTGAAATTCAGTGAAGTCAAAAACTTTAAGGAAAATAACCACCGATGCTCATAGTTCTGTATTTAAGTCTCAAACTTGTTTAAGAACTTATTAGTTTACCCAGATGTCCTCTACAGAATTGCTGAAAAAAGCACCCAAGAAAATATACCTGGATCCATAACTCTCTGGAGAGGGGGAGGAGGAGAAAGTGAGCTTTCTGGTGAATAACCACTCATTTCTTGATCTGTGGAATGATCCAAGTTCATAACTATGTCAGAGTTGTCACTCTGAGAAGCAGGTGCCAATAATGGAGTCTGGAATGACACAGTAAGAAGGAAAAGCATCTTTTTATATTGAAAGCTTCACCTGAAGATGACCTTCCTATGAAAGCATTCTGCCTCGGTCTCCAAGTACACCAATTCAGACAGAACCTATGATGCCAAAACTGACAGTCGAGCCACCGATCTGGACATGTTCCAATGTAGCCTTTTAAAGCCAGTGCGTTCTTAGAAGAACAGTCCGTACTTAATTCTTGTAGGTGTATTTTATTTCCTAATGAGAATGGTATTCTTCTCATGTGGTTCTCATTGTCTGATACAAGGCTTCAAAACAGAAAGAAAATCTCTGGCAAAAATTTCTATCAGGCCACACTGGTGAAAGAGTAATTGTAATATATGTAATTGCACCCAAATACAATGAGGAATATGGAAGAATACCTGCTGAAAGCTTGAGAAAATAGAGGGTACAGCTCAGCAAACAGAGTTTCTCGCCCATGTTACCCTTCCTGTCATCTGTTCAGCATCATCAGCTCTCACTTTCCCTTCACCTAACTCCATTTTGTTCAAGCAAAATTGTATGCTGTACTCAAATAAACTCTATTACGAACATTCCCACAAGTAGAAAATGTTGAAACTCCAGAGAACATAACTGATTTCTTACATACCTCTGTGTAACCATTAGTAGATGGTAGAGGCGTTCCAGCTTCTGGTAAGGGTGAAGGTGGTTTGCTTTCTGGCTTTTTCTTTGATACTATAGACTGTGTTGGAATTCTGTGCAAATAGCCATATCCAATACCACATCCTAAACTGTACAAGAAAAGTAAAATAAGACTTGAAAAAAAGGTGTTCTTAACAAAGCTAATAAGTGTTTTAAATTTTGACTCTCTAAAACAAAAAGAGTTTGAGTCTTTAATCTATAGCAAGAAACACCTACCTGTGAGAATCATTTCACTTACTTATAATACTCAAGGAGCACTCTGCTACTGACATTTAGACATACACAGCTTAGCTTTCAGTTGATTATTTTTATGTCTTTACAAAACATATAATCTGACCTGATTTGGATTTTGTTCTGTTTGTTTTTGTTTGGTTTTGCCATTGGTTTCAACTCAAACAGGATTAGATCCAGAACATGCCTAATTCGTAGTTCTAAGCTTTTTTTTTATGGAAAGATGAACAGTTTTGTGTGACAAGTGTAAGAAAACAAGGCTTAACTTGAAAACAGCAAGCTGTAATCAATAATAATTACAATACTCTTAACAGGAGCTCATTTACAGTGAGTATATAACCTGTCATCAGCCAGTGACTGTCCGGAGATCAGTACCTTCCTTCTCCACCCCAGGCTCCATTGGGAGTCACAACTACCTCTCGAATGGAATCTGCTTCAGTGTTATAAACCATCAGCTTCAGCGGCTTCCCCTCATGGGATTCAATCAGTGAAAAGAAATCCTCTGACTAAGAAAAAAAAAAATGTAGTAGTTATTAAACTCAAATGTGTAAGACAAGGAGCTGGAAGCAAGTTAGCGTTTTACGCAGTTACTTGCTTCAATATGAGATATTAAAAACCCAAAGACAGGCTAAAACTCACAAGTGTAGTTTGATCTTTAGGGGCAACTTTTTTATTGTCAGATTAAAAAAGATAATGTTTACCTCAACTATAAAGCATCTGTCATAAACATCAACCTCCTGAAATGCCAAAAAACTATCCCCATACATTTGATGTACACGCAATTATATTTATAAAAAAACCAAAGCCTACAACATACATTTGGCGGGCATGAAGACAATCACTACTTGAAGGAACATGCGCCCTACCTCCTGAAGAATCTGATCAGATCCAACAATGTAGTCGGTGTATGGCTGGAGACCAGCTAGTGCTGCAGGAGACGCAGGTTCAACATCCTGTGAAAGAATGACATGTGTCATCTGCACTCCAGCAGGATAAACTACCCCGAGATCAAAAAGGAAATCTAACTCCAAAAACAACAGAAGGAAAGAATATTTTGTTTATGGGACAAAATAGAAGTCCTTGAACAGTCTACACCTAGGTGTGACATCTTGTAAAACATGCTGAATAAGAAAGACCAGGATACTACCAATTCAAAATGAGATACTCTGAAGATGTTGAAAAGTTGCATTTATTTAAACAACCAGACACATAACATAGTCTTTCCTATTCTGTTCTACTCTTTCAGCTCTCCCTCTTAATTTTAAAATAATTTTTTGGTGCTTTTTGTTAACATTAATATTACTTCGATGAAGTTCAGCCAACACACAGACCTATCGAGCCAGAATCTTTTCTGCTTTTGCCATTGACATAAGACAAAAAAACCTTCCCTCCATCACAAACTACTTGGTCTGGTTGGGATGGAGTTACTTTTCCTCCCAGTAACAGGCAACACTAAGTTACCCACTACTTGTCCATATTCAAATACCTCAGACAAACTCTCAAGACTGCGTTCCCTTCTTCTGTGTGATTTCAGCATTGTACTTCTACATACAAGTTGCTTCTAAACATTGCACTTAAAAACAAGGCTGTATGAACACTAAGCCACGAAAGAATTCTGTCTCACCAAGACGTGCCACACGTGTTCATTGGCTCCCTGGAAACTGCAGAACCTCACGCTGGCTCCAAGAAGACCTTGTCCTCCCCACATGTTACTGGGGATCACCTCCACCTCTCTTATTTTCATTGTTTTGATATTATACACCTCCAGCTTCACTGCTTTTTCAGCATTTGCCTTCAGCAGATCTTTCAACATATTGTTTTCTTTATTCTGTAGAGCACAGAAAGCGATATATGATTAACATTAGTTCTAGTTGCACCTGTAAAATAGATGTCACACCTGTAGCAGAATTTGAATAGAAAGAACCAAAACTGTCAAAGTTTAGGCTCTGTGTCTCACAATCAGTCCCAGCAGTTCAATTTTCTTTTATTAGAAAGAAGTCAGTACTGCCAGCTCGTGTCCCTTTATATAAGCAAGTACTGTTATTCAGTTTCATCGCTTGCTTTCCTGTTGTTCATAACTGCTATTAAATAACAGCAGCAATATTAGATCTCAACTACGTGGTCATAACAATAAGCAGGAACATTTTACTTCATGCCTCTGATCCCAGTCCTCACTCAACAGCCCTTCAGAGTCATTGCAAACTGACTGTGAAAGGACAGACTATTTGGGAGCAGCGTAGAGAACTATCATCATTTCTGTCACGTTAAAAGATTGATCTTTTAACCAAAATCTACCATTATAACAATCATTTCCAGAAAGACACCTCCACTAACAAAAGCAAGACAAACTTAATGAATACACCTTGTATGTAGCTAGGATGAAGCATACAGCCAAAGCTGTGAGCCTTTTAAACTAAAAAAACACCCGACCGAAACTCAACTCCTCTTTCTTAACTCACCATACAGGAACTGTGTTGCCAGTCTTAAGTATAAGCAGACAGGCCATGATTCTTTTTCATATTTTATCAAATGTTGAAACAAGTTTGTTTAAACAAATGTTGAGCTCTTACCATTGACTCACCAGTTCAATATTCACCTTGTGGCAGAAAATATGCATGAACGAGTAATATAATAAACATTGTGTTAATCTGTTAAGAAGTTAAGGCTACTAAAGGCATAAATAACGACTTTCCTCAGATTTGGATCCAGCCAGAGAGGAGACTTTGAACACCACCAAGTTTTACTTTACCTTGTTAATGCCATATATAACATCCAATATGAAACGTTTTCTTTACCATGACAGCTTTGGCTTCTACCTTTCATCATTACAATACCCATATTTCATGCAGGGGAAAAAATAAAATCATTTGAGGCTTACAAGCCTAGTGTGTCCTATCGCAAGGATGAAATCAAAGAAAGGTTCCAGTCCTCCTTGTTGAGCTGGGGAGTTTTCTTGAACCTGCAAAACATACATTTTACTTTTATTACGCATTGATCTCTAGTTACACTAAGGGACAGTGTTAATCTTTACACTTGATTCAATATTTACTTTTGAGTTGAACCATAGATGAGATACCAAATGACAGACCTCAGGAAGCAGTCCACAATTGTGAACTTATTTTTATAGAACGACAAGCAACTGTTTAGAGCTTAATTATTAAGCTGTAAAAAAACAGATTTTGAACCCCATACAACACACAAATATCGTGATGCAAAGTGCACAGCATGGCATTATTAAATATTGAGGACTTCGAAGAAGGGCTTAGTTTTCAAAGTGCTGCTTCAGGATTTTCTTCCATGCTACTAACAGCCTGAGCACATTGAGAGTCCCCAGTTACATCACATCTATTTTTTACATAAACACAGTTTATAGTTAGGTTCCCACAATTAACAGCACATTAGAATAAGAACACTTAAGGGAGTATGCTACAAATTCATGGCTAACCACAAGTAGTGGTCAAGAAGATTGCCATCACTTAGAAAAGATATGTAAGGGTTACAACATCTCAATTTCATTATAACCAAGTTATCATAAAACAGATGTAATAAAGAAATATAGAGAATACCTATTAAAATGCATTCACACCAGGATGAAACCCACAAAAAATTACACAGAACTTGATAAATGCAGAGCATATGAGAGTACACCCATTTCAAAGTATACTAACAAAGCAACATGATACTAAGGGAACCATGGCAAACATGCTAACAGTTCATGCTGCTTGTAACTTTACTTTTTGTGAACTCAGCAGTACAGCCCTTAACCTGCAATATATTTGACTCCTGAAAGCCACCCCACAATTTAAGTGCTGTTACAACCCACGCGCCATCTAACCTAAGAAGTTCATTGCTAGCAACGTTAAAACTGCTACATCTTACATTTGGTCTTGTGTTACCAAACTGCTATATTTTTAAGTAAAGTTGGATCAGTATCGGGGCTTTTGCTGGCAAGTTATTTTTGCTGTCTACGCAAGTTGTAAAATACACGTAAGTTACTTCAGCAAAAGCTTTTAAAGCAAAAAAAAAAAAATCATGCTTTATTATTAAACAGTCAAGACTGACCACTGTAACCACAATTGGAGTAGGAAGTACTAACTTTCATCACAACCATAAATTGCATCAAAAGCAAACAGCCAGCTTCTACTGAACCAAGCTGAAGGTTAAAGAGTTTACCCTACATCCCAATTCTAAATAACGTGCAAGAAGCCTTACAATGAAACTATCACATAACACAATGTCCAGGATGAAAATGTACACAAAAAGAAGTACATGGAAGTTATTACAGAGCTCATGACATCATTGTTCAGATGTCTAAAAGCCATACAGATTCCCACACGAAGCTGTAAGTTGCAAAACAATCCTGCAGTATTTTGTTTTCAAAATGACACCACATCAAAAGTTGTGAGTTCCCTGGAGAAAAAAAAAAAATGACTTTGTCTCCTGCATGCTTTAGGTCACCAAAATCATCCTCCAGTACAGAAAACTGAGCAGTATCCTGCTCATAAAAGGAGGAGGCATTTCGTGACCAACAGTCATTTCTGATGGAGTTAACTCGGTTAAGGAGACTGACAAAAGCAGATTTCATAACAACACTGGTACCCTAAACACATCTTCTGATATTGAGAAACACTAACTGCTGGGGAAGTGGAAAGCAGCATAGGGCAACAACGTTTCCACTCTTATTTCAGGGAGGAAGACCACGAACTAAATGAAATGGTAACTTAGGCAACAACTGTTATCAGCAATACCTCTGCCTATCTTTAAGCTCCAAGATATGCATTTAAACCAATGTGCTTACAGTCAATTTGCCAGACAGAGAAGTTACAACAAATTTGCATCTAGATACAGCACTGTGAAACGCAGCCCCTCGGGAAAACGCTGGCTGGAGCGGTAATTAACCCCCAGCCAAGACGCTGTCCAGGTCCGCACAGAAATTGGTCAAATCTTCAAGTCAAGGGAACGGGGAGGGGAGCGCGGAGGGAGGGCTATGCTACTCTTAAAATATTTCAGATTCCTCGAAAACAGCACAAAAGGCTCCCCTGGGCTGTCCAGCAGCCAAGACCTCGCAGGTCGAGGCTCCGAGCCCGGTGAAGCCGCCGGGGTGGGCACCCACCGCCTACCGGGAGCGGGGCGGCCGCTCCTCCCCTGCCGTCGTGGCAGTTCCCTGGAAGGAGCCACCAGGTAGGGACCAGGGATCCCGCGGCCGCCAGGCCCGCCGTCCCGTCCCGAGCCCAGCGCCCTCTCCCGTGCCGGCCCCGGCCTGCCTCAGCGGGGGGAAGCGGGACGCCGCGCCCCGCCAGACCCCACACGCACCTCAGCGCCCGCCGCCCCTCGGGGCCCTCCCGCCCTCTCCTCCCTCCTCTCCCACCGCCCTCCCGGCGGCGGCCGCCTCACCCCGTGTACGGGGCAGCCC